AATATAATAACTATAATATTGGCCATCTCATATTTACACTGACTTTAGTCTCATGAACAACATTAACTATTTGTTATTTACTAGCTAATCTTATATGACTGTTCAGTACAGATATGAAGCCCAACAATCATGTTTTACAGTCAAAAAAAACTTCTTTTCTGTCAACCACACGTTTCCAGCTATCATGGCTGCTAGGCAACCTGGGCAGCACGACGGAGGCTAGACCGTCCCATTTCACAAGCCTCACACTTCCAGCCTTAGCGGTCTTTGAGTATGCGGCCCTTGAGGACCATTGAGGCTGCGTACTTTAAGGCTGCAGACCCTGAATTGGGATACAGCCATGTTGAGGAGGTCATTCAGCCATTTGAATCAGCTGTGATGGATCAAGGACACATCTAAACCTGCAGGACACCGGCCCTCCAGGCCTGGAGCTGGACACACGGTCTAAACAGTATCTGTTTATGTTTAGTGTGTCTGAATATAATGACTGAGCTACAAATCAAACACAACCATCACAGAGATGTTATAGACTCGTTGTTGCTGCAGTGACAGCACTGTACTTACGGTTCTTGAGGACGTCCGGCTCGTTGTAAGCGCCCTGTACGGTGCTCTGAGTCAGCCACACCGGCCTCTCCTTTGGCGCCTTGCTATCGCCGGCCTGTTTCTGCTGCTCCTCCTGGTCCATGTTGATGACCACGTTCTGGGTGTACAGATCAGCGTAAGTCGATCCTTTGTTTGACCAGGCTTCGCGGTGCGGGCCGCTCGCTGCTCCTGATGCTGCAGCGCGTTCTCGGCTGGAGGAAAGAGTCAGCGAATAATATTTACAGCTAAGTTAATGTGATCAAGTCTGAAAAATGTGTCCAGTTCACTCGTTTCGGGTTCCTCCTGTGGCTACAGACAACAGACAACTGTGGTGAGCTGTTAGGACGAGTGCGATGCTGCGAGGCTCGGCAGACTGACCTCTGTTTGAGAGCAGGAATCTCAGCAGGCTCAGGCTCCAGCAGTTCATGGGACAAGTTCACATCCTCGGTTTCACGGAGCAGCACGTAGATGGGCTCGATCTGCTCGTTGAAGCGCGCCACGAGCGTCCTGGCGTCAGGACAGACGGACTCATCCTCTTCTACCTCCGTCTGGCAGAAGGTACAGCGAAATGTACCTGCAGGTGAAAAACAATCATTACAGACCTGCCTACAGGGCGCTGCATGGACCGAAGTCTGTAACACAAGCCAGCAGAGAAGTTTAGGCTCCAACTACTTTACATACCAGCTGATATATCACAGGAAGTGAACCTGCTGGTTGCCATTTGTGCTATGATTTTGGTGATTTATAACCAATCGGGGTCAGGCTTGGTCTTCACGGAGGCTGGGCGTGGTTGTGTCGACACAACAGGAATAAGAGCGCTGACAGAGGCTCTTATATTAAACAGGAAACGTCTGCGAGGTCTCGGGGAAACTGTATGCTGTGCACACCACACTTGCTTCCTACCATTAAGAGAAGGGCAAGCTTCGACCATCTGCTTCTCTGGCTGATTTCAGTTTCAGTAACGGGAGCCGTTCCAGCAGCAGCACAGAGCTCACGCCTACTTTATGTTTATGTGTATGAGAGGACAAAACCCCACAGACTACTATTACAACTAAAGCACCTCCAGATTAATGCAAATGAAGTGAACAGTTACAGCTGAGGCTGCTCAACAACTGAAAGGCAACAGCGTTTCATTAATGTACAAACTGTTATTTGTGCATTTAAGATTAAAGTGGTAAATACCTCATTAAGATCTTATTTATCCTCAATGTGTGCTAAACGGCACCAAGCTGAGATTACTGGAAAAAATCATTACAAAGCAAATCACGTGAATATGATTAATACGTTCATTCATAATGGTCTGGCACTGGTCTCTGACTCAGCACTGAAACAACTGGGTTTAGCTCAACCTGAAATATTCTGCTTTTTCTGTACAAAGGTGGAGAACATGTTGGCCGAAGGTGAGGAATGAGCACGTCAGGTGGAGTGAGTGAAAAAAAGATCACGTGTTACAACATTCACGCCACGCGCTGTGAAAACTCAGAGCTGCAGGGCTTCGGCTCTCCTTTGTGGGTCAGAATGAGCTGGAAGACCAGCAGTGTCGTGTCCGATCCTCGTGAGGTTACGCTGAGTGTTGCTGGCCCGACAAAAGCAGCCCATCAAACTACCGGCAGAGCTGCAGGTACATGAAGGCTGAACCCTGACCGAGGCAAAGCAGCAGAGACAGGAAGCGGTGCAGAGGAACCGTGAGCCGTGTCATCACAAACATACTGATGGCTCATTTATCCAGAGTGACGAGACTGCACATCTATTCTCTCCCATTTGTGTCTTTTCTTAGAGCTCGATCATTTAAACACACCCACATTTAACATAGTGATTCTACAGTGAATCAACCTGACAGCCAACAACATCAACTATTTACAACATGCATTTATCCCAGTAAACCACATGTAAGTACTGGACAGAATTATTCACTGAAAACAAATGAGAAACCATCTTTAATGATTTGTTGCCTCCTAGAAGCAGAGCTGGACGGTTGGCAATCAGCCCTGACGCTGGCAGGCAGTCAGCGTGGTGTCACAGTTTAAAGCTGACGCCGTTTATGAATGAAAACAGCTCACAAACAAATACAAACCTTTGCAGAGAGAGCGCACAGAGCACAGCAGTTTTCTGGACAACGTTTCTAATGCAAATTTTTAATGCACATGTTGGCCCTGCGACAGACTGCCGACCTGTCCGGGATGTACCCCGCCTCTCGCCCTATGACAGCTGGGATAGGCTCCACCCCCCCGTGACCCTGACAAGGATAAGTGAACGAGAATGGATGGATTTTAGCAAACACACATACAACCCATTTCAGTGATCATCAGTTCTGGGGATGTTGCTTCAATTTCTCTAAAACCAAATTCAAAGAGATGCCATTTTCCCAAAATGCATTGCATCCTGTGTAATACAGTAATGTGCACTGCTCAGAAAGGAAGGAGCGCTTTAAATCATCAGATCTCAGAAATAAAATCCTGCTGGAGCTCGAACAGCAAAGTGAGAGTGGCTCCACTGTGACTGCAGGGAGACAGCAAATGTTCGGGTAAGGGCGCGTATTGACATCATCATGGCCACTGTAAGTCATTGATTACCAACTATTTAAATTTGATGTAAAACTGAAAATTCTGGGTTTTTTAAGTGCACAAACTGTTTCATGGTCACCTACGTTTGGTCTGTGTCATTCAGAGCTTATCATTATGCAGCACATGCAAGTTTCATTAGGAGGAATTGTCATTAACTGTATCCTGGTATGTGCTGTTACTGCCATCTAGAGGTGAGCTGAGGAGCACACAATATAATGGAAGTGCAAACAAAAAGCAACACATCAGATCACAAAAAGTGATCCTTTCATCAATGAAATACTGAAGTCTTCATTTAACTTTGACACACTCATTTCTATACATCCAATGTGAATCACTGCCAGATGTGAGCGCCTGCCTCGCTTTCCCCACATATTACATCTCCAAACAAGATAAACTGAGAGCCAGATATACCAAGTTAGGATAATCACAGAGGGGCTGAGTGGGCAAACACGTCCACAGAGGGAGAAAGTTCTGCGTCTATTGATTTTTTAAAAAAAAAAAAGATGAAGAGTGTCCTCCTCCCTCCCACTGACACTGCACGTCGAGTTCAGTTACTTTATGCTTGGTTTTAAAATCGAACTACTGAGGAGCAGAAATATGTGGGGCCTTGCTCCAAACCAAAGGGTTTAAGACTCAGTGAAGATCTACGGGAAAGAGCCAAAGCTGAGGCACCACGCTCACCGTTTTGAGCCGTCCACCTGCACCAAAAAAACGACAAGTTTCTCTGTGTGTAACAGGGTCATAAATCACATTGTTATAATTACACAAAATGTGTTCTAAACTCCCAAACTGTTCCTTTTATACCTGACTTTTAGGACCTCCAAGCCTGTAGTTATGTTCATTATCAGTTAGAGCCCCTCCTCATTCTTTTCTTCTTCTTCGGTGCAACCCTATAAATACAGTGTACCCCTTTTTTACAATTCCCCTGTGGGAGAGGTTGGTATAATTTCTTTCCCAACACTGTAAAACGCTCATATAATGCATATTTAGCCACCTGGATGTTTCTGATTGTGATTTTAGTTCAATTATTGTCATTATTAAGCCTGTTTTTGTTAGATGTTACAAGTGTGTCGTATGTATGTATCATAAATGGGTTTTAGGCGCCATAAATGCTAGCATGAATATATACTTCTTGCTAGCTTGGAAGTTGTGGTGGGTTGAGCTAACCCTCTTCCCCACTGTTTGTATTTGGTCGTAGGAGCTGGAGTGAGCAAATTATTTACTTGGAGGCCTTTCTTTCTTTTACCTTTTTTGATCAGGTATGTCGGATTTCATGTTGTTGTTTTTGTTTTATCTTATGTCAAATATGTTACGTGTAAATCCATACTTTATGTTCAATGTAAAAATAAATGCCAGCCTTTTCTACAATTCCCCTGTGGGAGAGGAGCTGGAGTGGGCAAATTATTTACTTGGAGGCCTTTCTTTCTTTTACCTTTTTTGATCAGACACAACGCAGAATCACACCGGTTACATGTGCACGCAGCGTGCTATTTAAATATATATGAACTCTCCCCACCCTTGGTAAAGAAGCTTCTAATTAATTATTCATCCCATAAAAGCTGGACTAAAGTCCTGTAAAACTGCCAGAATGCTTTCAAAAATCCAAGCGTGTTGAATATTACAGTATAGCAGCGCTGGTCTGCACGTTTACCTGTCATAGGGTCAAAGAGTTGGTTGGCCTCGAGGTCGGTGAAGGTGGAGAAGCAGCAGGGACACCGGAAGGAAGCGCGGTTGGTGGAGTCTCGCTCATCTGTCTCAATGCGTCGTCGCATGTGATCCAGTTTATACTTGACCACATTGACCAGTACCCTAAAAAGATGTAAGACAGAAATAAGACTACTG